CTACAAATTTAATTGCCTAATCTTTTCGACTTCCAAATTTCTTTTCAATCTGTTCAGCCTATGCAAAGCGGTTATATTTATTATAACTGAGAATATTAGTAAGGCAGTTATTTTCAGCGACTCTAAAAGTGCTCTCCAAAAATATCCAGTAATTGCATATCGACTAAAATGGACTATTTAACATTAGAAACAAAACATAGTTTATTTAATGCAAAGAGTTTGGGGATAGATATTTGTCTAGCATGGATTCCTAGTCACTGCGGAATAACTGGAAATGAGGAAGTAGATGAACTGGCCAAAAAAGGCCGACTGCAAATATTAAATATTAATGCCAGGGTGCATCATAGTGAACTCTTGCCTTTTTTTAAATCCAATACATGGAAAAAATGGGAGGAGGAATATAAAGTAGTATGCCAAGTTAAAGGGAAACTATATTTTAGATGTGATTCAAATTCCATTAAAGAGACCGTAGTTTGCAAAAATAAAAAAATTTGAATAGAAGGGATATAAGTACCGTATGCAGATTAAAAAGCTGTCATTGTTTGAGTATGGTGCATCTAAAGAAAATAGATGTAAAAGAAAATGATAGGTGTACGTGTGGAGAACGGGAGGATTTACAACATATTTTTTTTAATTGTCAAAATAATTTTTATAATATTTATACACTTTCAGAGAATTTAGATATTCCAAAAAAATTTATAATTCCTGTTGCACTTTTTGATGTATTGTTTAAACTTCTGTCTTTCGGTAATGTTAAAAAAATATCAAAATTTATACAAATCTCGAAAATTAAACTGTAAAATATTGTAATTATTTACCTGTTGTTACCAAATGGCTGTATCATCCTAGCTATGTAGGCCAATAAATTATAAAAAAAAAATATTTATGTGGCATGTATTACTAATGCAATACGTGCTCAGACTTATTGTAATATTTCAAAATATAATTATTGTCCTTAAATTCTACACACAAACAACTACAACCATTTCGCTTTATTTACCTTACAGTACAAACCATTGATAAACTCAAAATTTATAATTCAGAATTCTATGATATACATACAACTGACATTTATTTTTACAAACTGTCCACTGCTGTCCACGTCTACTGTCTGTCTACAAACTATGACTACAAACGACGTGTATCTTTAGTTAACATCTGAGATTCATAGATGACGCCATCGTTGCTACAGCCATTGCGTTTCACATACTATAAAATCGAAGTATGTGTTGCGTTTCCTATCTCTTTGTTTCGGATTTCTGGGAAATGTGTAATCAAAATAGCAACTTAGAGTCGTACTTTGATATATTTGAAATCAATAATTTTATATTTGAAGATTGCCAGAACGAAGGTTTTATATCATTTAAATAAAGCTATTTAAAAAGAAATGTCATTTATTCCCACCAAAACTGACTAGCTCATCCACTAGCTGGAGTTTGAAACATAACGTAAAAGAGTAATGCAAAGGTGCTGACAAGTTTTAGTATCCTTATAGCATACATCTCCTCTTTATGAGAGCACAACGGTGATTTTTTTTTAAACAAATGAAATATCAAATATTTCAGATTAACAAACAAGTTATAAAAGTAATTTTAAAAAACCGACTTCAAAATCGTCCAGATGCCATTAGCACATCTTGATCGAATTTAGAGAGGGCCACCCCTGAGGTACCCCCTAACTAACAAAAAAAAGAACCATAGAAATCGGACAAGGTGGTAAAAAATTACCGCTAAACATACATAAAAAATGAAGAGTTTTATCATTTTTTAATGAACCCAATTATTAGATTTTAACCAAATTGATATAGGATCACTACTAAAGTACCTCTTTCTAAACAAAAAATAATCATTGAAATCAGACACCGTATTAAAGAATTATAGCTGAACATACATAAAAAAAATATTACGACGAATTGAGAACCTCCTCCTTTTTTAAAGTCAGTTAAAAACACTAATGGAAGCGACATTTATGTTCTATGAGGTGATATTATGTAATAGGATTCTTTTCATTGAAACAATTAAGGCCGATTTATAAACCTCCAGTTGCAGTTACCGCTCGCAGTTGCAGTTCCTATTGGAAGTAAAAAAGCTATTTTCACACTTGCGCACTTATATTCTGTGTTGCTGTTACCGTTCACTGTTGCAAATGCCGTTTCCTCACTTTCAAACATAACAAAGTTTTAAGTTCAACGGCGACTGCAACGTCAAACAAACGGTAACAGCGACGGAAACTGCAAGTTTATAAATCGGCCTTTAGGCATTCCAAACAAATGAAACGATGTAGTCTATCTACAATACGTGAAATCATAAATACTGGATTAAATTTAAATATTTTATGTGAAACATTATTTTATAAAACAACCGCTCATATTTTCTATAAATTGGCAGGCTTGGCGACTACATTTCAAATAAAAATAGCGTCCAAGATGGAAGGCTATGTAAACATTTACGCTTTATGTGTGTTACAACTTCTCTCTCTGATTTTTTTATTATTGTCCGACAATTATAAAATTGTCTTTGAATGGTTGGAGGCATCGCAAATATCTGCAAATTTATGAATTTTTCTACAAAAATATCACGGATAATTTAAAATTTTTTAGTAGAAACAGTGGCAATAACTCCGCGTTAATAAGTTTGTTACTTGGTCTAAAAATAATGCTCTTTCCATAAATGCTTGCAAGTGCATAACCATGCATTTGACATAATCCCACTGTTACAGTATTAACAGCATCTACCTAGGTACATATTTCCTAGGCATTATTTCTGATACCACAATATCTTAGCCATATAGATTCCATAGTATGCAAAGCTCTCGGAATGATTGGCTTCATCAAGAGACATACTAGATACGTGAATAATACAAAAGCAATCATACTTTACAATGGCCTGGTGAGAAGTGTCCTCGAATACTGTTTTATTTGGCAACCTACTTACACCTGCAATACCAATACAATTAAACGGGCGGGACATAAATTCGTAAAATACCTGTATTTTAAACACCGAATTCATAGCCATAACACATGTTATTAAACAAGAGTATTGCTTTGTGGCATGCAGGGCCTGGGATGCAGAAGAAAGCAAATTTAGAATAAAGCAGACTTTATTTCTAGTCTTGGCTAAATTAATAGGTGGTTCTATCAAATGCGGATCACTACTTGAAAGAGTTTAATTATTGTTTCCTGTCGACGAACTCATCACACATCAATTTTGAATGTAAAAAGTAGGGCTCGGAATTTTTCAGATTTTTGTATTCGAATATTCGTTTGAAACTTTATTCGAATACCCAAATTATTCACTATTCGAATATTTCTAAGTATTCGAATATTCGAGTATTCGACTATTCGATTATACGAGCATTCGAATATTCGAGTATTCGAATATACGATTATTCGAATATTCGAGTATACGATTATTCGAATATTCGAGTATACGATTATTCGAATGTTTGAGTATTTGATTAACGTATAATTCATACCTGTTTATTTTGGTATGATGCTTAGTTCTTAATTGATTCCACAAATTACTGGTATTACTTCTGTGTATGACATTGTAAGGTATTAATTTACACTACACACGATTTTCTTTTTTATCGAAGTAAAGCCAAATCTTACTGCGTTCTGAACTCATATTTAACATCTGTATCGGACAAACGTTGACTAAAATCCTAAACTTCCTAAAGAGACGACACTGTTTGGCCACGTCTTGTCTATGATTTACTATTTTTCTCTAATGGATCTGTCTAAAGTATCCAAGTAAAACTGTAATGGAAGGGGAACGTTCACATACTTTGATTTTCTTGGAACGATACAACCAAATAAATCTTGACAGTTACTTATCTAATATTTCTCTGAGGTTGGAACTTAAAACAAAAGAAGAAGAGATTGGGAAGTAAGGGGGTGGTGGAAATAGTATATTACATTACGAGTGTGGAAAGTGACATTTTTCACACGACTGGGAAATATTGTCGCACGAGGCGCAAACCGAGTGCGACTATCACACGAGTGTGGAAAATCACTTTTCACACAAGTGATGTACAATGTTTTTCCTACGACCACAAAATAATGTCATCAAAAAAATGTAAAACCAAGGTTATTATTACTATAATAATTAAAATGTATTTAAAAAAATAATCAACAATAATCGTATTTATTCAATTTTCATATTTTCTAAACAAAAAAAAAATACAAAAAACAAAAAAAAATTCTGCCCCGCCAGGATTTGAACGCGGTCGAAAAATGGCAAAGTTAATAAGTTCAACGTCCTAACCACCTGAGCTAATAGCCCTTGTGTCAATTGAATGATCTAATCGGTTATGTATTTAACCAGAATAAAGAGCAAACATTATTTTAAAATTATTTTAATAATAATTGTTAAGATAAATATCTAGGATCTAATTTACAACAATTTCAATAATTTAACAATCATATCGATTTTAGTATTAATATGGACATTACATAGATCAAAATAGAAATTAGGTGTTTGACATTTTGTGACAACTACTGCGGAAAGTAACATATTCTCACTCGAGTGGAAAGTAAATTCTTATTCATACGCGTGTGATATAGGGCACTTTCCATAGGACTATATAGTGTGATATGTGCCACTTTCCTAAGTGGTCGTAGGAAAAAGTAGTTTCCATCCTCTTATTCTTCTTGGCAAAGTAAGTTAGTAACTTATTTTCTATATTATGTTAACTGTCAGTGAGTATACTCATTTTATAATTTTGAAATGTTTATACTGTTGTTTTCAAGAAATAATAGGAGACTAGAAAGTGTGAAGACATTTTATTTATAAAAAAGAATTCATTACTTGAATATATTTACAATAGAATTATAATATAAACTATATAACTATAACAACAATATATACAACATAGAATCATACAAATATGGTTGGAAAAATATAAATTATTAGTAAAATAAGTCGAAAAAATGGACGAATGCTTAATTGCAGCAGTAAAAAGGGGGGGCTTCAGTTTGGAGAAACTCTATATTCTTCTATCTAGCAATTGGATTCAGTCCTTTTAGTCCTTGCAGTCCTTGGAACTCCCAGTTGTTGAACCACCTTTTTCTCTATTTCCTAGAAAAATTAAAATAATAAGTACAAATTTTTGTTTGTTTGTTAAATAAGTTATCAAAATATATACAGTTTCATAAACATACAGTGTTTGCCATATTAAATCTTTGGTCCTGGTTTGCTCGTATTGGAGTGAATAGTCAATAACGTTTGAATCGGTAGGAGTGGAAAGGATGTGGTATCGACGTTGCCAGTTACAGGTCGGTAATGCATTACCGACCTGTGACTGGTAATGTTGATACCGTGTCGTTTCTTCTCTGCCAGCACAACTTCCAACATAAGAAAAGCAGGACCAAAGGTTTGATTTTGTCAGCACTGTAGAAACCCAAGCCAGCGTATAATGTTTTTTTTTTTAAATCTATTGGTTAGGAAGGCAGATTGATAATTCCGAGAAAAACCATAGATATTCGGAAAAACCATTTTCTATTGCTGTTTCATCTCAGTTTAAATATTGACGTTTTTTAGATTTTAATATAGGAATTAGTCACCGTTGTGTTAAATCGAGACAATAAAGTGGATTTCTTTAAATTGTCTTTACAAAATTTAGTATCGACAGCTGTGTCGTGGTCTTTAAAAAGACTCTTTAAAGCACGATTTAAAAAATGTATAATACATTCTAGTTCTAGAGCTAACGTGCAGGTTTGTCTTCTTACAGCTGAATTTATTATTAAATTGCACTATGATACGTTTCCAACAAATTCATGAAAGCGCGATGTGCAGACTGGGGCGCTTAAGTAGCTATAGGCATTAATGTGGTGCGTGCCTCTACTTATTTTCTTAACATTTTCATTATGCTCATTTGACGTAAAGTGCTCACCTACAAGAAATATTATTAAACTCTCCACCAATTTCGATAGGCCATTTTTCTCTCCAACGTTTTAAAGTAGTGCGTGAGAAGGCATGCGCGTGACTTATTTTCTTATGGCTGGTTTTTGGATTATTTTCAAGTTTTTGTTGTTTTTCACAAAATTTACTTCCTCTGCCATTTTCGCTGGTCATGCGCATGCTCATTTACTTACACACCTCTTTAAAATGTTGAAGACGAAACATGGCAGTGAAAATGGGGGAGGAATGAATTTTGTGAAAAACATAACAAAAACTTGAAACTAAACCAAAAAGCAGCCATAAGAAAATAACTCACGCGCATGGCTTCTAACGCACTACTTTAAAATGTTTGAGAGAAAAAATTACCCACTTATCGTCGAATGAGCATAACGAAAATGTTAAGAAATTATGTCAAGTTTTTGGGAGGCACGTACCACACATTTTGTGAATTCGCTGGACAAAATTTAATAATAAATTCAGCCATATGAAAATAAGCCACAAATCTGCATGTTGGCTGTATGACTATTCGTTCGTGTTGCTTTTTACATTTTTTTCGAAAAAAAAAAAAATCATAAAATCCTCCAACTATTCTCTAAAAGTATCGATAGGAAAATCTGAATAAATTATCAAGATTGCTTTCCATTAGAAATTTTTTTTTACAAAAAAAGAGAGTTCTACTGCATTGATACTTTGTATTAGCACCTGTCCTAAATCTACCAACATGTCAACTCTATACGAGATGAGATTTACAAATAACATTGTCCAAAAAAATGACGAAGTTAACAGGAATCTATGGGATAGAGACTTGAACGAAACAGCAATGAAAACATTATAAATCTGGAAATGAAGTTTGTAAAAAGTGTAAAGATTGTAACGAAGTTACATTTGTTTATTTATTTGAGAAGCATAATATCTATCGGAAAACCGAATTAAGCATTTTTATTTGATTTTTATTAATTGCCATTTAGGGTTGTTCGGTTTTCAAACATTCTGTATGTACATTCATCAATATTTTTTACAGTAGAGATCCGTGATGAAACTAGATAGCTAGGGCATCAACGACTCCCACTTTCAATAAATAATCGAGTTTGCGCATCAACACATTAAACACCTTTAAAATGTCATGCACGGACAATGTATAGATCTGTTGTGAAAAGGTTCAGGTAAACTCAGCCTAGATAAGTGCTTTGACTCTCCCAATTTGATAGCTATTTTACAGAAGCAAAAATAGAGGGAAATAAGTCCCCGGAATTATCAGTCCAAGTTAGATACAAATTTTATTTCAACAATCGGTTTTTTACATTAAAAATTCAGTTATAATCCGTAAAATTATAATATTAAAAAGATATTCTGAACTAGTTTTACGCATCACAGTAATTTCCAGTTATTTCTATTGAAATACTTACTTAATCACCTAATAAATTAAACGAATGAATATAAATGACCTTAAAATATTCACGAAATAAATGTGAATAAATTTAAAATTAATTCGATAATCTAAAAGGAGTTTGAAGCGTGTAAAAGGTTACAGTGATTTATATTATACGTGCCATGCTTAGCGTCAACAATTTTTCCCAAATTTTCCAAATGTGTCATTAGTTATGGAAAACGTAGACAGGATAGCGAAGACAAATAAAAATTGACAAAATTGGAGGTTAGATTACATTTTCCAGTGAAAAGGAAGTAGCCATTCAGTGATGTTAGTAAATTATCAATGCAATATTCTTGCTCCATTTTAGCAATATTATAGAGAATAAGCGCCTTTGAATTTATCCTGAAAAAAATTGGTTTCAGTGTAGAAAAAGGCAAAAATATTTTTTTTTTCAGTTTTAAATTTGAACTTTCAACAAATGTTTTGCCTGTTTTCTACTCCGATAATTCAGAAAAGAAACCTGTAGTAAATACATTTGGAATGGGAGCTAAATTTTATAAAATATTCACGTTTCAGAAGTCAGTATCCAAGAAAACGTTATGTGAGAAGAACAATTATTGAAGTTTTTCGAGCAAGTACCATGCCTAATGAATAATCTTCATACCACTACAAACAAGCTAAAATTTCCATTCGAATTAGTTGGTTGTTTACGATTCAACAGTTCTCTTAAAAGACCATTTTATCATCGCTGGACAATTTTTTTGTTATGCTTCCCGAAGCATTTTTTTTTTTTTAATTTTGATGTGGTTAGTTGTCTATTTGCCTTTTTAAAGTTTGTGGGATTATTTTTTCACCTTTTGGGCTACATACACATGGTATCAACTCTTGGTCCAACTCTAGGTTCTCATGGACTTTTATTATGTCCTCATTCAAGCCATATCTTTAATAGTATCCTGTATTGTAAAGAAGATGAACATTTTTTACTGTACATTAATTTTTCAACATAGATTCGAGAAAAACTGTATAGAAAAACGATACTGTTGAGCAGACAGAAATAAAATAATACCTGTGATCCTAATAATGGTAGAGGTGTAACCATACGTCCAATCACGACAGGAAGACAGGCGAGTCGCGTTACTCCAAATATAATTAAACGTGTCATCTTTATTTTACTTAATGCGCTGGTTAACTAATCTATGTATTGCAATTTAAGTTCCTCTATTCATTATTAAAATGTAGTAATATGTTAAAACTGTAAATAGTTTTAGGTTATGTCCAATTGATCTGACACCAAGGCCATCAATCAAAACACACACATGCAACATGTCACGGAAGATAACATACTCTTTTTTTAGTTAGCTTCTTCCAGCCTCTTAAAGCAACGGTTTGTTAGAACAGTCTAAGAATGTTAATATTATGGAATGGTTTGTTAGAGTCAGCACGTCGAAATCAATTTGAGTTTGATTTGGACGCACCCGTTCAGATGAGTATACAGCAGACTGTCACACTAGTATTTTGTAGGTTATAGAGTATTTTTTATTTTCTAACTACATAATTTTTTGAAATTTTTCACACTTTAGTTAATAGTTTGATAAGAAAAGATCGTAAAATTTGTTTTAATATAGACATCGATATTTTTTCTTAATACATTTTCATAGTTTTTCACTAATTTACTTAATTTCTTAAATATTTGGCGATCTTCTTGTTGAAGATTTGGAAGTTCTAAAGTTTTCTTAATTTATTAATATTCTTCGATCGCTTTCTATCTATATATTGTTTATATTATATTTATGTATAAAATAAATTTTAGTTTATTTGGATTTAACATATTATATCAACGAGTCAATCTATTGGAAAACTGTGAGTAACACAGGTGTAAAATAATATATAATTTAATAGCTGAGCGTAATACAGCAATTATATACGATTCAAATATAAAACTAATTTTATGTTAAAAAAAATATCAAAAATATTTTAGAACACACTTTAAACTAAAGTAACGGCAACTTCATTGCAATCAAATCGGAAATAGAGAGTTCATAATGCACGGGTGTGGATTATGATTAACTATAGTAATATTATGAACACTGTATTTAATATCACACGTATTATGCGTTTATTAATTATTTGTGTAGAAATAAAATATAATTCAACGCCTTATATTAAAATAATATGCGAAAATCCAAATTTTATTTATCGTAAATAATACATTATTTTTTTGCGGAAAAGAAAAAGAATTTTCGACAATCATCAATTACACGAGTTGTATTTGTTAAGATTACTCGACGAATATTTCTTGTCACTTGTTTACAAAATACAGTTACTACAAATTAAATTATCATAAATAAATAATCAAAAACATAAACAAATGCTTTGTTTTGTTTTTTATTACAAGCAATAAAAACGTTAACTATCAGTTCAATATTTAACAACTGACCCTGACAATCCTGAATAATGAACGTTAAAACATCAATACAACTAGATGTGGGTTATGGTTTTAAATTTTACCCTAATTTATAATTTTATTTTGTTTTTAGAAAACGCATTTAGATTTTATTGAGCAGTTTTTTTATAAATAATTATAAGCTGTCAAAATATTATAGGCAGAGATGAGAAAATAAGCAGCCACTTATTTTCGTCAATAGCAATGAAAGTTTAGATTATGGGATTTTCTCTCATCCAAAAGTCTTTTAGTAAGAAGTCGTTGAAAATAGTAGTTTGAGCAACAAGAGTGGATATGATGGCCATATCGAGTTGTACAGTATATTTATTCTACGACTTACTGACGAAAATCTACAAATTTAAAAAATTATTTTAGGTTATTAAAACAAAATAACTAATTTTAAAATAAACTGCTCACGGAATTAGTCGGTACAGCTAATTTTATCGTCATTTGTAGCAGACTGTATCTCGGAAACGCCTTAGCCGATTTTTAAAAATGAAGAAGTGTACAGGGTGTGAAAGAATACAATGTAAAAATGTAAATTTTTAACTGCCTGCACCTGTTGAAATAGCAATTTCAGAACTTTCATCGTAATTACATTTAGAAGTTTTGGTCTATATCTTGGGACGTATTTGACAGTTTTGTATTTTTTTGTTCAGAAAAAAGTTTCAGGGTATTTTTAAAAAGTCCGCATTTTTTAAAATTGCAGTTTTAGTTTAAATAAGTTTATGTTACTTCAATAGAACGGCACGAAATACAAATTTGAAAAAGCAAACCTAATCTGTCCATAGCATATAGGGTGTCCCAAAAGTCCCGGGACAAGCCAATGTTTCAAAAAACAGCTTACATTTAAATGTTAAAAAATCAGAGAGAAACAATATTAACTATTAATTTAGTATCGAGTAGGCCCACCTCGTACTCGCAAAAGTTCTGCTGTTCTTCTCGGCATACTCTGTCCACCAAGTTTGTAATAAACTCTTGAGGAATAGCTTCCCAGACTTCACTAACTGCAATTGCGAGTTCTTCCAAATTTTGTAATTCTTGCGATCTTTGATTTAGTTTTGGTTTCATTCTGCTCCACACGTGTTCAATTACATTCATATCCGGCGACCTAGTAGGCCAATTCATTCGCTCGATACCATTCTCTCTCAGACATTCTTGGACAACTCGAGCCCTGTGTGGACGAGCATTATCGTCCACCAGAATAAAATCTTTGCCAAAGTTCTGAGCAAAGGGAACAACAATCTCATTCACACACAAGTCACGATACCCAACGCCTTTCATACTTGTCCAATCAAAACTATCAAATCAGTTTTGCCATTCCTCATTACCCCACCCCATACAGTCACACTTCCTCCTCCAAACGGCACTCTAGCTTCCATATTTTCTTCAATATACCGCTCATTCTTTTCTCTCCAAACCAACATTCGACCATGCGTTCTATACAGTGTAAAGCGACATTCATCAGTAAGCATGCAAGATCTCCATTCTATGTCGCATTTAAAGTTATTCTCCGTCTGATAGATAGGTTCATCAGACGATCATCCGTGGGGGTTATACATCTTTTGCGACTGCATTGCCGAATTTTTCTATATACAGAAGTACCATGATTTTGGCTTCTTTCTATCGTCCTTTGAACTGTGGATCTTGATGTCCCCACCAAATCAGTGATATGTTTTAAACTCAATCCTCGTTGTCGCAATCTGTTTGAAATACCTTTTTAATGATGCCCTATTAAATTGCATTATAAAACTTACCGCATAATGTTTTGTAACTCATTTTCACTTAAGGAGGTCCTTTCGCCACCCCTTTCGCCACCAATGTTAAATAATAGTACATTATATACCTAGGGCGAGAAGTGAGCTATTATTTACCGAGCACTTTTATATCCTGAGGCGCGTAGCGCCGAGGGATGTAATGTGCGAGGTAAATAATAGCTTTCTCAGCCGAGGTATATATAGAATTTTTTTTACTACTAACATTAATATATTAGCAATTTTAATTTTGACATAAGTAATTTCCTAACAATTTGTTAAATATTTCGAAATATCAAGCAGACTGGAGCGTGTTTCTAATCAGACTGGCTTTATTTATGTAAAAATTTGGCATGTGTCAAATTTTGGTATGATTCTAGGAAATATCCCATTGCATTTTTGATATTTTAATGACATGGATTTATTGGTATTAATTAATAATTTTTGAAGCCTATTGCCGGTGTTGAATTTCCTAGTTAATATATATTTTTACTGTTTACACTGATATATATTATCATATTTGATTTGATTAGATTTGATAAACCCAGCTTTAGTTATTTCCTACTTATTTTTCAAATATTTCAAAATATCAAGTAGTCTGGGAGTTTAGTTGTCAAATTAACAAAATGAAACTAATGAAATTTAGTTTCATTATTTACCTAGGTGTTTTTTTATTATCATTATTTACCTAGGGTGAGAAATATTACTTCTCATTAGAGGAATGGAGTAAATAATGGTGCTTTCTCATGTTAGTAGTAAAAAAAAAATATTAGATTATGACTAAAATTTATTTTTTTTCTAATAGTTGAAGTCCTTATTTATGTAATAGTGAACTTTTAACTATACCTTACCGTGCAAATTTTTGAGATTTTTTTTTTAAATGTGAGTATTTGTACAGTGTCTTACGAGAAAGTAAGACCTCAACAACAATTCTCGAATTATACAATTATTTATTGATTAGATGGAGTAGAAAAAAACTAAAAATAAGGTTTTTGAAATATTTAGGTGTTGTTTTTTACAATAAAATATATTATAGGTTACCGTGGAATTTATTGAGAAATTAATATTAAAAAAAAATTTTAAGTAACCTAGTTGAAAATTTTTTGTGATTTTTTAATATTAATTTCTCAATAAATTCCACGGTAACCTATATATTTTATTGTAAAAAACAAAACCAAAATATTTCAAAAACCTTATTTTTAATTTTTTTCTACTCCATCTAATCAATAAATAATAGTATACTTAATTATAATTCGAAAATTGTTGTTGAAGTCTTACTTTCTCGTAAGACACTGTACAAATACTGACATTTATAAAATTCTTTTTTCTCAAAAATTTGCACGGTAAGGTATAGTTAAAAGTTCACTATTAGATAAATAAGGACTTCAACTATTAGAAAAAAATTAATTTTATTCATAATCTAATATTTTTTATTTAACATTGGTGGCGAAAGGACCTCCTTAATTAAAAATATTGCAAGGTTACAATTATTACTGTCATTATTTTGAGCTTCGTTTCCATGGTTTTTGTTAAACTGCTTTTTCCCATAGCCTACCAAACGAATAAAAGTTTTGAATGGATGGCAAATTTCACCAGATTGCAACAATGAGAACTAAAATTAACAGCTGACAAATTTTGAAGAATAATTTTAATAAAGCAAGATAATAAGGTCCACAGGAGTTCCACATCAAATGAAAGAGCTCCTAGAGATTAATAATTTTTGTTATTTTAAAAAATGCGGACTTTTTGAAAATACCCTGTAACTTTTTTCTAAACAAAAAAAACAAAACTGTCAAGTACGTCCCGAGATATCAACCAAAACTTCTAAATGGAATTACGATGAAAGTTCTGATAATACTCTTGCAAGTGGTGCAAGCAGTTACAAATTTACATTTTCACATTGTATTCTTTCACACCCTGTACAACACTAAAAACTAACTTTTTACTGAAGATCACATCAAGCCATTGATATAAGAAATAATGATTTTTCAGAATCTTCTACATTTTTAAAAATCGACTAAGGCGTTTCCGAGATACAGTCTCCTACAAATGAGGATAAAATTAACTGTACCGACTAATTCCGTGAACTAATTTATAAAATAAAATAAACATGAAAAAAAAAAAAGATTTAATTTAATTAGTCCCCATCCCAGATTTGAACCCGGGCCTCTTGCGTGGAAGACAGACGCCGTGTTCTCACCTCCACCGCCACATTTAGGATTTTAGTTTTAATAATGGCAATAACATTAGTTTCATATAGTTTGGTTAAAATTCAAGATTTATTTCTAAATGTGGACCAAATAAAAATGCCATTATTTATCGATTCTACACTCATTTTAATGTATATATAATCTCAATAATTAATAATTAAAATATACTGACAATTAGTTTGACAGAATTGTCAGTTACATATTTAAAATTTTAAAAATTAATAGTAATCCGGTGACCAAAATATGAACTGCGATTGGTGGATTTAATTTTTTTTTCGGTGTTCTCACTACCTAGAATGGATATGAAATATATTCGTTTAGTTGAAAGCAATAGCATACTTTTCGTTATGTAGTCTGTGCATATATAAGCTAGTATTCACAACAAATGGATTCATTTTTACTTTATTTGCTTGATTTGACAGTGACGTTAATGATTTTTTTTTGTATTTCGTAACCATGACGCTGAACGAAAACTGTGTATTTTCTATTTACTTGAATAATCATGGAAACAATTCAAACCTAAATAACAGAATTATTAAAAAAAGTTAAGAACCCATTTGAAAATTTTATTCATCAAACAATATTATTTTATTTGAATGCTTATGATCATCGATGCCACATTTGTGGACATTCAATTATAATGTCACAATAACTATAAGTTAGCAAACGAGTCTTTTAATTAGTTGAAATTTTGCAATTCAACCAACTAATCCGGGAAATTTTTACATACGTGTGTTAGTAGACCAGCACCTGATAAACCAGACCCATCACCTAACCGATTTTAAAATTCTTACCCTTTGCACGTCTTTGTTTCGCTGGTGCCTAGCAATCAACTCAATTTCGGACAAATAAGCTAAACTTTCGGATTTAATGATAGCTCCTTCCAGTTCGGGAGCGAGTTTCGGTAGGACGTTTTGTTTTTTCTTTCGAAGAAGCGAATTTAGTTTCCAACCCGTCTGTACTGGACTGGGTTTGAAGGAAGAAAACCTCTCCTTGGACTCCACGTCGGGCGATTTGGTCGTTTTATTATTAATATCGTAATCGGTTATTAAAGGGGAATGTGGTATTTTGGTACTGTTATAATCGGATATGTATGAATTATTGGCATTAGGATTTACTTTGATTTTGGTACTTTTGACTGGTTCTACATCGTCACCAGTTATTTTGACTAGTGTGACTGATTTGCCTTTGGTGTTATTGGGGGAGGAGTATAATGAGATGACGGTTGTGGATTTAGTGTTATGAATGGAGTATAATGTGGGTTTAGTATCTGGGCTACCTTCGGATATACTAGATGTTGTGGACCAGTTCGGGGTAGGCCCGTGGGTGGGTGAACTGTAACCTGATGTGCTTTGGGAATCGGGGTAGTGAACGATAACTTTGGCACCCTTACCGTTCGCCGACGGCTTGAATGTGTACAATTCAGGTTGGCACTCTGTTAAGGGGGAGGTGATTTCGGCTAGGGATCCTACAGCGCTAAGCGTTTTCTCGCTGCTCTCGCTAGCGTCGCTAGTTCTCCAAACGGCGAGGGGCCTGCTTTGTCCGTCTACGGACTTGGCGTCTGAGGGGGTTTCTATCGTGTTAGGGCTTTCTAAGTCTTGTATTAGCTGGAGAGCTGCTTCTAATTCTTTGGAAAAATCTGCGTCACTGCTCTTTCCTTCAGAGCGGCTGCTGCTTTTTGAATTTTGAGTCTTTTCCGATGCTGTTGCGCTTTCGCTAGTGTTGCTTTGGGGCGATGTGATATTTGGAGAATCTTTCTTATGGACTATCTTCTTTTGGAGTTCCTTCATGAGCGAAGCGTACTGTACAGTCTCGACTCGGGGACTGGTTGATTCCGGCCGCCGCATGATCACAGTTTGTGGAGCGTGGTAATTTTCTTCGTCGTCTTCCTTGTTACTTAGAGCAGTGTTTAGCCTTGAGCGGTATATTGTTGGTTCTGTAAGTTTCTCTAAACATTCGTATATTAAAGGATTCTTGTTGTGATTTGAGTTTAGGCTAATTTGAGATGAGCTTGCCGATAGAACTACTGGAGAGTGTGAGCGTGAGAAACTTTTCATATAGCATAACTTTCTGTCGCTGTTGCTGGTACTGTCGTCAGACGCTTCCTCGATGTGAACCACGGGGTTATCTATTATATGGCCATTTTCTTTTACCTGTAAATACAGTTTTGTAATATATGAATATCAAACACATTAAATTAGAATCCTTAACTTTAGACAAATAAATTTGATATGTTTTAGTAAACGAATTGCTTTTATTACAATAAAATATAAAAAAATGATTCAATGATTCAAAATTAAATCTAAACTTTTTTTTAAAGAACATTTACTCAACATCAATTAGAAAGGTGAAACCTTTTAAAAGGATCAATTAAAAATCTGATTCCAGTCCATAGAAATAAAAGTATTTTATGAGGTCAGCCCAGGGCTAGGATGTACTGGACAGATCGAAGACAGTTTAAATATTGAACACAAGAATTTAAGGCTGTAGAAGCAAAATATCGTTTAATGTAGACTTCAGAGTGATTGATGAAACTGTAACTTCAGTATACCTGGAAGACCACATTGAGCTCAGTAGTCAAAATTATAACCTACAAAGGGAAGGGACTAATCAATGAAAATATCTATAAATAAATAGAAGGATATAAGGTCATGGATCTGCAAATGATCTATTAAACAATCGATGCGAAAAGATGGAATAAGTAGTGTTCCTAATCCTTTCTTTTGAGATGTGTTCTGCGTCTCGGATTACCTTTTCTCACATCATTAAAATTTCCATTCATAAACGTCATAAATCTGATTTTTACTATACATGTGGTATAGGATACATCTTTTCCACATACTTTCAGTAGCTTTGGAGGTACCTACTTTTTAAATTAGTACGCCTAAACAAAACAATGTCTAATATGATTAGCGATAATTAATTTGTGCAACTAATAGATTCTAGAATTAGTATAATGACTTAAAATTATATTATATCATTTCAAAATTTAACATTTGTTGTCCATACTATAATTTTTGTGCATAGTAGTTAAAGTCAATATTTTCGAGATACAGATAAAATTCGTTTTTTTTATAATTTGGCTTCCAGAATAAAATTAATTTTTAATTTTGGCGACATTGTTGCCAATTTTCAGAATTTTTCTAAAATCTTTATCTCTACAATATCTACTAATAAATATTTTTTAATTAAATTTGAGTGAAAGTTATTTTGGGGTCTTCAAAATGCAGTGATGTATTGATAGGATTGAAAAATAATCATATCCCTTGATAGTTTATTTTAAGTCATGACACTTGAAGAATAATTTCTAAATTTCCATGAAAGATCTTATGGATAATACCCGCATAATTTTAATATTAAAGAAACACAATGAAGAGCGAAACCTTATACTAGTCAATGAGACTAGGTCCACGTTAATATCTCTGTTATTTAACGAGCGATTTGGATCAAATTTTGATCAGACATACTACACATAATTTTGAATTGATACTTATATTTCAACAAAATTCTCGACTTCCGGTTTTAACGGATTAAGTTCGATTTTTTAAATGGATCACGCTGTATATATTGTTTTTTTGGAATCTACGCTTCAAATTACATATGACAGTGTTACCAAATTTTATATAGATTGAAAAATAAAGTTTTAAGTGATGCGTGGTTGTATATTGTTAGATTGGTAAGAAAATTTGTAAAAGTTATGGAGTTGAGATGGTATTCTAGAGGATGTGGGTTCAAATTCCACTTGGAGCGGAAGTTTTTGATACAATTTTCCAATTTATCTCTGGTTTTTTTTCAACCCTAGGTGAATTTCCTTCATTTTCTAACCTTAGAGTTTAGGACCCAAAAGACTTTTTGGTCCATTTTGCCTCAATAATGTTAAAATCATACGGATGTAAAGACCCTGCATATAGAAAGCTAAGATATGTAATATTTTAATTACTCACCATTCCATTTTGCAGACCATTGGGCTTATTAACCGTGGGTTTTTGCGGCGTCCCATTTTGTAGTACATCAAAATAAGGACCTTTTGCAGTTGTGCCGTCGTTGGAGGTGCCCGCGTGTTCTGCGTCGAAGACCCAACTCTGAGCGTATGCGTCGTACACAGTATGGGTGTTCGATTTTGTATTCTTTGGCTATAACAAAAAAAATAAACATTAATCATACTCTCAGTGTACATTAGCGATTTAAAATGTGCTTTCTAGTTCTGCCTAAAGAGCCCCAACTGAAACCGGTCGTAGAATTAGTTGGTTAGTATTTGTGCCTTAAGTTTGCTAGGCGCATGGTGACAGTATCACCCTATATTTTAAAAAGACAATTATTATTGCTTATTAAAAATTAATAGAATATTTTTTAAACAAACTTTTGCAATAAATAACATCAATAGAACATATCTACGGATTAGTATAGCCTTGCAACTGAATGTTACATTAATTTTTTTTACATATGAAATTGAGACATTTAAAGATACCTTTGGGGAGTGTTGCAACATTGGAATTTCAATTGGAAGGTCTTTCTTTCTCTTTTCTTTCTTTTTATGTCAACTAACAATTATTATGGTTCAGACAATTACTGCTTATTAGGCATGCGATTGATTTTAAAAGTTCCTATCGGTCGTTTGAATCTGTTGTCATTTCATATTAAGACTAATCTAGTCTCAATTAACATTTTAAAAAATTCCTAAGGCGCGATTTAAAAGATAAATAGTATCTTTTTTTTAGTATCAAATAGATGTTTTTTAGTATATAAATCGACATTTTTATTAAAAATCCTACATTTAAAAAATTATTTTCGATATGTTAATGTGGAAAATAGAAAAACTCATTATTACTGACAATCATTAATTGCTTTCAATTAAAATAATATAATGTACAGGGTTCGAAAGAACTAACTGTTAACTTCATAAGTCTACTATTTTTACCAAGTAAAAAATCTTACTACATACCCATATTCAAATTAGAATATAATGACGATTTGGCAAAAGCGAGCTGTCAATAATAATTATACCCAATATGCTGTATTAGTAATGATGTAATTTGTGTACCAAACAAATTTGTTTATTATTTAAGTAATTTAAGGTTCTAAAATATATTCCTAAAGTATATAGATACCATTTTAGTTAAATCTGTTCAGTAAAACATTAAATAAAAATAGAGGGTTATTACATTAAAAAAAAACATGCTTAAAAAATTTAAATGTTTGTCAAAATCAATGAATATTTCGTTTATGTTTGGCGCTAATGCAGGGTATTGAACAGTGGTGTGTGGAGTAACAAGAAAACGTGGAGCCCTGGTTCCTGATCTTAAATCAGGTCCTCCTTCCCTCTCAATAAGTACATACAAATCAAAAATCGTGCGAATTTCTATTCATGTAGGTGGGCCGAGCGAGGTGGCTTAGCGGTAACACATCTGCCTTACATTCGGAAGGTCGCGAGTTCGAGCCCCACTGTCGACTAGCTTGCTATGAGTTTTCAGAGGTTTTCTCATAGCAATAGGTAAATTCTGGGTCAGTAACATCCTCAGATATCTATCACCATTCCTTCTACCTCATCCCATTAGAACCGATCCCTGATCCCTCCAATGTGGCTGAAGAAGGAAAGAATGAAATAACTATCTTTTACCCCTCTCCGTTCATGTAAAACGAACGTACTCTTTAAAATATTTGGAATAAAAATTAATGCCTAGATCCTATAATTGGAAGTATTTTGCATTTAGCATACCTACAAAGTTTATATTTATAACAAAAATGTTTCACTTAAAGAAAGGGCAGTATATTTGAAAGATAAAATAAATATTAATAATTTCCACAAGAATAGTCCTTGGTAAATAAATATGAATTATCATGTTTGCTTTTTAAGAGCGTTGTGAGTTGTCTAAAAACATGTGAAATGCCTACCTATACCTACCAGTAGTATCTACACCAATTATAATTATTTTAAACAAAGTGCAAAATGACCTAAATACAATTCTACTTCAACCAAAAAATGTTATTAGGTCAGTAATGTTTTATGAAAAAATTGTATATACTGGTAAGTTGATAAGTTTTACTTTTATTAAATATAGATACATATTCAAAACGATCAAGATTTAATATTTTTTGAATAAAGAATTGACACTCGCTTCTGCTTAGTTTTTAAAATTACCACAAATTATTTCAAACGCTTTTTTAAGGCTTTAACTGGGCAGCCGGATCCGCAATGGTCGCAGAACTTAGTGCCAGCGTCCCACTGGCACCATTATAGTTACGCTACTGATATTGCACAAGTGCATTATTGAAAAACAAAAATTGCTCTGTCTGTTACCATGTTGTCATTATTTTACCTCTCTTGAGCTAGCAGGACCAACTGGGCAGAATCGATTCAGATCAATTACATTATTTAGTACTCATTTTGTACTAAAATCACACTACATGGCGTTTCTTGCTTATTATTAAGCTATCAGGACCACATTAACAAAAATTGTAATAAAAAAGTAGTACAATTAAAAAGGATTGAATTTGTACCATTAAAAAAAACTTAATATATTCAACCAAACTGTGTGAAACAACCTTTAATTTAATTCAAATCTCTTATCAAAAGTAAAGCAACTTTGTACAAAAATAGAATCAATCATTATTTTTACATAAGAATCAACATATGTATTGTTAAAATATAACGTTTGAGATTTTGTACCTTGCCGTTCCTTTAGAAATTTCATAAGTAAAGTATTATTTTGCATGAGCAGAATCAATCGTTACTTCTACATTAAAAGAAACATGCTTTGTACTGTTAAAATATAAAGTTTCAGATTTTGTACCCTCGCCGTTCCTTTGGAAACTATTCTCACAAGTACCCTTTTGCCCGAGCAGAATCAATCGTTACTCCTACATTAAAAGCAACATAATATTTTGTACCGTTAAAACGAATTGAACTTAAGCGTATAGCAATTGCATATTTTCTATGAACGTGTGTTTTACATTGTTCATCACGACTTGAATATAAGAAACCTCAAATTTTTGCGATTAGCTTGTTACTACGGACAAAACGAGGATCCATTACTATGACCCAGAAATGAAAGAGTAATCCAAGGAGTGGAAGCATTCTGGTTCCCTACGACTAAAAAATTCGGTGTTAGCTTCAGTTTTCTAGAACAAGGAAGGGATAATATTCTAACAGATTACTCGTATTTAGAAGATGGTAAAACTATCAGGGGATCATATTATACTGAGTTTTTAATTGGATTAGGCAAGAAATTTGGGGAAAAGCGCCTCGAAAAACTCGCCAGAACTGTTCTCTCGCAAGACAATATCCCTCCCTGTTCACAAGCCTTGATCGCAATACAAAATATTTATGAAATTGGATTTGAATTTGCTATCCATCCACTCTATTTTCCAAATTTAGCACCATCGGATTATTATCGAATATGTGCCATTGAGGAGCGGTTATGAGACCAAAACAAATAATTTTTTTAAATGCTTACAATTACTTTATGAATATTATCTATGCTAAATGTGTAAGACTTAAAGAATTATTATATTGAATAAATAAAATTTTATTTTAAAATATTCAGACGTTTTATATGGTAGGCTTAATATTTATCAATACCACCTTGTATATAATTCCTAGTACTTATTAAAACCTACTTTTATATTATTTTCTTGTTCTTGGATGTAATAATGTTTCTATTTATTTTTTTTTATTATTATTTCTTGTCAGAATATGTTTTGTAATTGGGCAAAACAGTGTTATAATAAATAAAATAAATATGGAATAAATTAGTTCAGTTTCACTCTTATTTAAATAAAAAAGATTTTTATTTGTTTAATTGCTTTTATTATATTCTGTATGTTTTATTCATTAAAATTAATAATTAATCGATTAACAATATTCATTAGATTAGAGAGAATATCCATCAAAAAGTTCGATATAGTATGTTGGAATTATTTTATATTACACATAGTGTTTCAGAATAAAGTACCGTAAATGGAATAATTATTAATCTTAACATTTATGAAATATAGGATGTTCAAAAAGTTTGAAATAAATTTGTTTTCTTAGTCCCTAATTCTACGCCAATGGGTTATCCTAATTTAAGGAAATAGAGTGTGTTACAAATGGCGATTGACTAACATGTACATATTTAGAAAAGTCCCCAGTTTACGCTATTTTATTCTGAAACATCTTGTATAAAAATCTGATGTGTCCAACACATGACTTTCCTATCTAGTTATTATAGGCTTTTTCCGGTTTTTTTGTACAACCTATTGCAGCATCTCTATAAATGTTTAGAGGATAAACTAAATATATACATTGTCCACATACATCTACCTCGAAACATTTTTCTATAGATATTCATTGAAAACGAAAATACTGAAAATTTTTAATTTGGCTCTTTTCCATTACGGTCCATTTTAGAAAAATCATGTATAAACAAAAATTATAGAGATCGATATCGCAAACAACTTTTAGTTCAACAATTTTCATAAAAAGCAGAATTTTGCACATTTTGTCAAATTTCTCGAATACGGACCATTTCAGGAAATTTTGACATAAAACAAAAATGATAGATAATAATATTAGAAGTAACTTTTATTTGAACAATTTTCTTCTCCAAACATAAATAACAGATATATTCCATAAAATATAAAAACGGCCTCCCATAAAGACTTTGTCCAAAATCTTATCATTTCACGTCAGGCCGAAATAAACCTTAAGTTTAAAATTTAATGTTTTTTTCTTAATCCGTTTTTGAGTTTTCTTCAAAATTCGAAATTTACATATTTTCTCAAATATCTCGAATACGGTCCATTTTAGAGAAATTATGTATAGAATAAAAATTATAGAGAATTATATTACAAACAACTTTTATTTGAACAATTTTTATAAAAAAAATATTTTTGTTACATTTTGTCAAATTTCTCGAATACGGACCATTTTAGGAAAATTTTGTATAGAACAAAAATTATAGATAATTATAATAGAAGAAACTTTTATTTGAAGAATTTTCTTCTCCAAACGTAAATAACAGTTATATTATATAAAATATAAAAATGACCACCTATAAAGTACCCCCCAGATGTTCCGACTCTGCCCAAAATCTAATCATTTCATTAGACGCTGGAATAAAGCTTAAGTTTAAAATTTGGTGTTTTTCTGTGT